TCCTCCTCCTCCTCCTCCTCCTCCCCCTCCTCCTCTTCCTCCTCCTCCTCCGCCTCCTCTTCCTCTCCCTGCTTCTCCCTCCCCTTCCTCCCGGTTCCGCTGCTGCATCGTGGAGTCCAACTTCTAGACTTTCGGTTTCATTATCTGGGTCAGGGGCGCGTCGCCCGCAGGCTTTTCAGGAGCTGGACGCGTGTCGTGGGCCAAAGGTTAGCCAGGAACGGCAGATGGGGAGAACAAGAATCCGTACCCTCGCAAGGCTTGGGCGGCCTTGGTGGCCTCGTGGGCTGCCCTGGCGCGATCTTGTGGGCTTTTCGGACCGCGTTGGGCGGTCGGAAAGCAGACAAACAGGATGACACGGGAATCATTGAACACCGAAATGAGATCACTGGTTTTTGCCTCTGGGGGCTCTCTTGGGCGCGCTTCTGGAGCCCATTTGCGGCGCCTTGGGCATTTCTGGGCCGTCTTGATCGCGGCTGGATCCGTCCGTCTTGGAGCGCTCGTGGGCCGTCTCAGGGCCCTCTGGGTCCTTCTTGCAACACTGGCCCGAGCATGACGCCATCTGGCAGAGGGGCAACTCTCCAGCCGAGGCCGCGATGCAGGAGGCGCGCTTACAGTGGAGGCCAGTCCACAGGAAACCTTCCACAAGAAACCCGACCCTGAGACCCCAGGACGTCCATTGATTCTTGGTGTGGGAACGCCACGTCTTCCACAGCAAAGCCATCGAAACCCAAGAAACCTAGGGCACTCTGGAGGCAAGCAGGGTGCTTCTTGGCATGGGCCTCCGCTTTGCCTTCGCGCCCCCTGGGGGTGACCTGGAAAAGCGCCCCCGCTGGCCCGAGCCCGTGGTCCTCAGGAGGCCCTGGGCCTCGGAGGGCGCCGAGGGCCATTGTCCCGGCAGCCGTGCCTCGCCGAGGGAGCCTGGAGAAGCCGTCGTCTGCGCCTCGCGTCTGGCCGATCACCCGTGGGGCGACGAAGTCGATGCACATCCACTGCTCCCTGGCCAGGCCCATCCTGAACCCAGCAACAGTGTAGAGGCCACGCCCTTCCGTCTTGGCCAGGAGGCGTAGTTATGCACAGCTCCTGGGTTCAGGACGGGCCTGGCCAGGGAGTGGTGGATATGTATAGATTCCGTCGACTGAACTCGGCCGATCGCGTCACCCAATCCCGTGATCCAATCGCAATCGTGATCACCAGGGTCGCCGCGCCGATCACAGCTCGATCACGCACTCGAAGTCGGACGATCGGATGATCAAGCCGAGCCGAGCATGCGATCGACGATCACGCGATCCCCCGATCACTGCGGTCTGCGATCGCCGATCGCGTGATCGGCAGGCGCTGGGCGCCTGCGTGCTGCGCACCCATCCGAGACCCGATGTGCGTCCGAGACGCGTGGCGGATTCCAGGAAACCCTGAACCCCGAGGTTTTGCCATCTCTTGGGGACGCACCTCTTCTTGCTCCCGCCACCCTCCGCCGGCCTCCGTCGGCGGAGGCCGCCTCGCTCTGCCTCCGCCGACCTTCCGCCGCCTTCCGCCGCGGAAGAGATGGAGGAGGAGGAGGAGGAGGAGGAGGAGGAGGAGGAGGAGGAGGAGGAGGAGGAGGAGGAGGAGGAGGAGGAGAGGAGGAGGGGAGGAGGAGGAGGAGGAGGAGGAGGAGGAGGAGGAGGAGGAGGAGGATGGCAGCTCCTTCGATCCTCGAAGGCAAGGCCCATTTTTTTGAGCGTCCACTATGGAGGTCTCCCCAGGTCACCCGACTGCGCGCCCTCTCTGACGCGCACTTCTTTGGCGCGCCCCCGCGAGGCCAGCCCGGAGAGAAGGGCAGCTCTCCGGCCGGGGCTGCGGCGCGCGAAGCGCGATGGTCTTCGTGCCTCACAAGGTAAGCTGGCCTACGTTGATCAGAAGGAGCGGGACGAACACGATAATGCTTAGGGAAGGGGAGGAACAACTGCAGCAGCAGCCGGTTTATTCCCGAAAGTGGTTCGCCTTCGACGGTGTGCACGCATTTCTATTTGCGCTCGTCTCCTGTCACGTCTATGTGCCAATTGCCAGGCCACGGCCACAAAGACTCAAACGTACAGACCAACGGAACACGTGGTGGAACAATCGGGGGAAGAGGGAGACGGACGATAAGATGACGACGAGAACATGTGAGTAGGCAACCGCGAGGGGGGGAGGTTAGATGCTGTCGTTTGCGCGACCATCATGGCTCACCACTGCGCGTGATAATCTGTCGGGTATCGCCACGCTCGGGGCGTGGCGAATCGGCGCGGCTTGCCATGCGGATATATCCCCCGAGGCGCCAAAGGCCGAGTATATTCCGCATGCGGGCATATCCCCCGAGGCACAAAAGGCCAGGTATATTCCGCACAATGTACAAGTGTGACGAAGCGAGAGAAGAAGGGGAAGAGAAGGACAGAGGGATGCAGGAAGCGAACCGCTAAAAATAAAGCTCGCTTGCGCGCAAACCAAGACCCTAGGACCCGATCCGCAAATGCACACAGCATCGTCCCGCACTTTCAAGGATCCAGCGACGGAGCGGAATGAGATGACGTGGCCGACCCGTGCACAACCAACTGGCCCTGCGAATGGCAACACAAAATGGCCGCACATGAAAACAAGCCACCATTTTCACAGCCCATCCACCGGGATAGGCGGCATCGGAGCCGAGCGGTTGAGAAGCGGGGCTGCGCAGAGCTGGCAAACTCTGCCCGAATGCCGCAGGGCCGCAGGACACGCCGCGCCGACGAGGGCATGCAGAGGGGGGCCGCGGGAGGCACGGGCGCGCGGGAAGCGAGGGCGAAGAGCAGGGATCAAGGGGCCCAAGAACACACAAATAAATACACACAAATCAGATGATTCCCCACCTTTTCCTACATTTTCTGGGATGTTGTCTTCCCCCCCACTTCCCATATTTTCCAATATTTTCTGGGGGATCGACGATTCATTGTGTCTGTGTGCTTCTTTCCCTCCTGAAGGGGGAGGAGCGATGGCGCGAGGCACGCGGGGAGCTCACAGCGAGGAGCAGAGCGTGAGCCCCCGCAGGCGCGGACGGGGCCCCCTCGGGAGCGCCGCGCTGAGCCGGCCTGCGGCGGGCGAGCCCGTGCAGCGGCGAGCGGCTGCCCGGGTGAGGGGGCGAAGCGCGCCCGAAGCCCTTCCTTCTCCTCTTCCTTCTCCTCCTCCTCCTCCTCCTCCTCCTCCCTCCTCCTCCTCCTCTTCCTCCTCCTCCTCCTCCTCCTCCTCCATCTCCATCTCCTCCTCCTCCTCCATCTCCATCTCCTCCTCCTCCTCCTCCTCCTCCTCCTCCTCCTCCCTGACTGGATCGTGTTGGAATGCTCTCGCTGATTCTGCACGCAGCGGCCGAGTTCGCCCAGAACGCCGTCTGGTTGGACAACTGGTGCTCGAGGTCCCAGTCGTGGAATAGATCTGAACGCCGAGAACCGTGTTGAATGCGCTGTCAAGTTGGAAGTCTCGCGGGTGGCTCGCAGCGGGAGACCTCGCTGCAATCGTGGCCGAGGTCGTGCTGTGACCCAGGCTGCTTCTGCGCACGATGGCTCAACTCGCACGGGTCGATCGATTACACTGCCACAAGAAATCCCACCGATTAGAGTCCAAAGGTCGCAATGGGAATATTCACAACAGTCACTGACCGGGCCACGCCAAGCACCAAAGGTCCCAATGGCTGCAATCGCCATGTAATGGGAACTCCGGGCTCACTGCACTGTGACGCAGCAGCCGTGCACTGCTGGGGCCAGCGGGGAGCTCTCGCCGTTTGTGATCTTCCAGATCGAACCCGCAGTGGTGAAACACAGGCCGTGCTGGAACACGTGCCGGTCGGTCAATTCGTCTTGGTCGTTCGCCTGGCAGTGCTCCAGGCAGTGCCGCGGGGGGTCACAACGGCTGGGGTCGCCTCCTCCTCAAGGACGAGGGAGGAGACTTTCCAGACGCCCGAGAGCCTTCCGAGGCGTCCTCTTCGATCCTCGATCCTCGACCCTCGATGCTCGAGCCCCTCGCCGATCCTCCATGCTCGAAGCCCTCCTCGAACTCTTCCTCGATCCTCGATCCTCGATCCTCCAGAAGCCTCCTCGATCCTCGGTGCTCGAACCCCGATCCTCAGGAGGAGCTGGCGACCCCCCGCCAGGGTGACCCCGCCCCCCCCTTTGGCACTGCCCCCGAATGCTGGAGGGCGCACTGTTTGCCTCCCGAAACTCGAGCTCCTCATGGCGAAGACACCGTCAGGCCGGAAGTCTCGACGATTGTGCTTACAGCGGCCGAACTCGCGATGGTGGTGGACGGGGCTGGCTGAATTTCACGTGGGGGGGGAGTACTTCTGCTGGAACGCGCGTCAGGTGTACTCGATGCTGCTAACGAACCAAATATGGTCGCGGACCCACTCGTGCTTGAACCGACGGTGATAGGCCTCGCAACTAGGAGTATTCGAAGTTCGTGGGCTTGCAATCACTTCCTCCTGCCGCTGTCAGAGGCGAGGGAGGAGAGCAATGATGATGCTGCTGATGCTATTGATGATGATGATGATGAGGAGGAGGAGGAGGAGGAGGAGGAGAAGGAAGACGAGCAGGACAGGGAACGCACGTTGATGTGACTGGTGGATGGAACGTGACTGTGTATGGGTGTACTCAGAACTGGGACAAGACAAGATGAGAGGCACTGAATGGTGCAATGTAAGCATGGCGTTGCTTTGATAAGAACAACTGCACAAATGGTGCTGGCCAGGAAGAGTGGATAGCGGGACACAGCAAATCACAAAGAACAACATGCTCGTGGAGATGCCGATACGCATGCTGCGCGCACAACTTTCAATAATGCCACCTGCCATGCTTGCCGCAATGAGCTCGCGAGCGACGCTCTTATTATATGGTGGCTACAGTTGGTATCCCGAACGAGTTTCGCGCATGCATGCTGACCGCTGGCACGCAAGCGCGATAACCACCCCGCCATTCTGTCGAACGTCCGACTGAGGTCATAGGTCTCGAGGATCATGCATATTATGATGAACGTAACAACAGCCAGATCCTCGGCTGGTTGCCACAGAGCAGGGCCGTGGATGCGTGACTGGTCGAGGCAGCACGGTGCACCCGCACGCCCATCAAATAATGATCCATGAGCAGCGGAGCAACGACGACGATAACAGATGCCGCGCCTGACTGAAGAGAGCCACATGTGACACCGAGGAGTTCACAGGATACCAATGCAACGAGAAGAGTAAGAGGAAGAACAGGGGGGGGAGAGGAATGATGGGGACGGATCGGGCGGATATTGAAGACAGTGAGACAGATTTATGAGCCCAAGTGCGCGAATGAACACGAGTCTGCCTGCCCAGTGGGGACCCACCGACTGCCAGGCCTTGGTGGTCCTGCTCCCTGCAGCAGTTCCAGCCAACAACTCATGCAAGAAGTGCTTGCCCCTGGAGGCTCTCACTTAGGGAGCCCACAAAGGACGTACGCGCCCAGCTATGTGCATGAACACGGCCCCTCGATTCGCGAGACCGGCCGCGTGATACGAGCACTTGTGCAAGGCGTGCTCTCGAAACCAGCGTGGACTCATGTACATGTACGTCCTTCTTTCGCTCCTGATTACGGCAGGTTCGTGTCGTGCCGACCCCAGCGTTGGTTTTTGACACCGCAGGGATCGTTCAACCTTGAACGATCGGCCGCTGCCGCAACGTCCGATCGCTCAGCATCGATCGATTCCGGGTCGCCGGCGGCGTTCAACCTTGAACGCCCGCGCTGGGGTCGCCGCTGGTCGACACGACGCAAACCTACCGTGCTGGGGTTCACTGAAGACTTGGGGAGGGGCCGGCAGAGGTCTCGCCCGGTGCCCGACCGTGGGCGCCCTGTGGGCGCCACGTGCGCGGGGCGGGGCCGCGCAGGCTTCGCCCGGTGCCCGCCCGTGGGCGCCTCTCGTGTGCCGGGCGGTGCGGCCGAGGTGTGCCCCGGTGCCCGCTCGTGGGTGCCCTGTGGACGTTCTGTGCGCGGGGCGGCCGCAACGCTCGGGCCACAGAGCATCAAGGGCTCCCAGCTTCGCGCTTCGCGCTGCGCGAAGCGCGAAGTGCGAATAACTTCGCGCTCTCGCGCCGCGTCCCAGGGGAGAAGAGGAGGATGAGGAATCGGAGCCGAACCGCGAAGCGCGAAGCGCGAATAACTTCGCGCCCTCGAGGGCGCCCTTGGAGCATGCACCACATCGCTTGCACCACGGAGCCTGCGTCACGGAGCTTGCACATGGTGCCCCCCCAGCAGGGATCTGCCTCCCTGGAGTTCCTTGCTCGGCCGCCCCAGAGTGGCCGTTCTCGATCCCTTCCAACTCTCAATCTCCATTCCGCTCCTGTGATGTGCACTGTTCATGTGAAAACTGTATACGCATACGCAAATAGATACATCTATCTATGTCTGCATATGTAAGTATGTCTGTCTGTCTGTCTGGCTGTCTGTACGTATGTATAATTTTGGGTAAATGCAATATATATGTAGTGTTCTATATATATATATATATTCGCATACCAAAGACGGGGGCACTGCTATCATAGGATCTCAGATGAACTTGACTACGGTCCACATACAAATCCAATCAGAACGGCCCAGATCCCATGGTTGGAGGATTTCGATCGGAAGTGAATGCGTTTCACATCGGAGTTCAATACAGATGGGGCAGCTTCCAGGTGGGCAAACAATCAAATACGTCTCCACCAGGAAAGGAAAATAGCCCATATTCAAAGGTTGTACTTGGATTTCAATGGAACTCAACTAAGTTAATTTCGATCGGATAACACTTGGATTGGCATACGAATGCAATAGGTATGGAGCCCCCCCCCTCAGTTGAAAGATTTGGATAGGTTCCAAATCAGAACCTGCTGGGAACAAGAGCAATTCCCATACGCAAAACGCTACGCGTGGAAATCAATGGGGTCAAAATCGGAATCCCGTGGAGATGAGCGAGATCCCACGCTCATGGGATTTAACTGGATTTGACTGGGGCTCGCAGAAACAATCCAGCAACAACGGGCCACATCCCAAATTTACAAACTTTCGACTGGATGCGAACAAGATTCAAACACTAATTGACTCGGAATGGAGCAGCTCTCGGGCTCCATAGTTTTGAGAATCTGGCCCAACTGGGCAGCCACTAGAGAAGGAGCACGTTACATATTGAAGTGGTTAGAATTGGATTCCAATGACACGCAAATGCGAATGTACGTAAGAATAGGCGATCTCCCAGGCTCATGCAAGTTCATTGGGCTTGATCTGTATCCACGTAACATTTCCATGGTGATGAACCAGGGGCCATATTGAAACAGTTTCAAGGTGGGTCAATCGTATCCAGACAGGAATGTCATGCACACGCTTGGCAGACATCTACACGAAAGGAGCACACCCCGCTAATATGGTGAAAGGGCCACGGTAAAACACGCAGTGGGTGCCACTGCTGTAACAAAGGCTCCGCTGGTGTCACGACCAACAACATAAAAGGGGCTTTAAATACTTGGGAACCATCTCGCACCCTTTTGTTTGGACGCCCGAAATGGGTACGGAAAGATTTTCCCGAACCAGGAGCGGCCGCGGTTGGGCAGGCGGCCTTCTGTCTCGACTGGACACAGGCCGCGGCGGCGTGGACAGCGAGTCCTGTCCAGAATGCACAGGATCCGCTGTTGGGCGCTGTACCCCTTCTGTCCGTGCCCACTTCGCTCGTGCAGAGTTCGGGGGCCCCCGAGCAGCGCAATGTGGGCCAGAGCCCCCGGCATGCGGAGCCCGCGCGCGAGGAGGCCAAACAGAAAAAAAACAAAAACCCGCGGGGGCGTCGCACGGGGCGCGCGCGCGCCCCGGCAATGCGGGGCCAGAGACCCCTTCCCTGGAGTTTTTTTTTTGTTTGTTTTTATCCCGGGCCCATTCTTACTTCGGCGGCGCGCGAGGGGGTGAAGTGAGAGGGAGAGGAGCCTTCTCAGAAGACGGCGGGACTTCTCAGAAGCCCTCGCGCCGTCTGGGAAGTTTTCTCCGTCTTCGGGGGATGCTGCGAGGACTTCTGGGAAGGCTGGGGGCCTTCTGAGCCTTCTGAGAAGGCCCGCCCCTTTCTCACTTCCCCCCCTCGCTCGCCGCCGAGGAAGCATGGCGGCGCGTGGGGGACCCAAGTCCCAGCACAAGAGTGTCGATGCAAGACGGGCCCAACGCCCCAGCGTGAGCACCGCGTTCCTACAGCCGACCGAGAAGGAGGATGAGGATGAGGACCATGATGAGGAGGCAGCGTAATCATAGCATGCTGACAAATATTTCAATTACAAGGGCAAACGAGAACACGAAAGCGGACAGCGCGTCAACGACGAAGGCGACGATGGCGGAGTGCGCCGACTCAGCCGTCAAGCAACGAGCGACGAAACGGATGCACGAAGTCACCAGACGCCTCTAAGGCGTGAAACGCCTCCGTAAGAGGCAAGAAGTGGAATTCGAGCTGAGGTGGGGCTGCACGGCAAAATTCTCCCCGTCCGCCTCCGTTGATGGATCTCTCGCTCGCGCGCAGCGGCGCGCTTGGCATCACTTTTGCAAGAGTGACCAAACAAGGACTTTCGCTGTAGATGATCGCTGAGGGAACAATACACGGGCAAGACGAAATCGCGACCGACAATCAAACAGAGAAGACAAGGATGGCAAATGAAACCCAAGGGTCTAACGTGCTGCATTCATGCAATGTATTTTTTTCAAATATTCTTTTGTGTGTGTCTCTCTCTCTCTCTCTCCCTCTCTCTTCCTCAATCTTTATGTGAGTGTGTACTATCACTCTCATTCGTTCATTCTTTCTGCGGTTCCAACAGACATCTGTGGGGGGTCAATTTCACAAGGCCGCTGCACCCTGACTCAAAGAAGCAATGACACGCTCCATGAGAGCGATGTACTGCTTCGCCTCTGTGAAGTCGAAAAAGATCGAAGCCTTCTCTCTGTCCATGCATCCAGGTCTCTCTAGCTGGCACACCTGGCCGACGGGTTCAAAAAAAAACGGCACGCAATGAACACATGCTACCGTCTGTCTGCTTCATCCGCCTAAGCGCACACCTCTAGCTCTTCTGGATAAGCGTGCGTCGTAACGTAGGGGTGGTCAGTTTGGAGCGGGTAGCTGAGGAAGGGGGGGAAGGAAAATTATTGAATGAGGGAAGAGGGGCGGGGAAACGGGTGGTGGGCATTGGGAGAGGAGAGAGACACGTTCCCGAACTCGGGTGCAATATTCTTTTCCCGAGTTCACCGGCCCAACCGGCCAGAGGCTTGCTAAGGTCTCTGGGAAAAGGTGAATTGTACATCTATCCAGTTCGCGCGCGCGCGGCCGCCCCTGGGGGTCCCTGGACGAAAAATACCCCCCAGAACCCCTGGCAAAGTTCCGGCAGACTCGGATCAGAGATGGTTTTGCTCCTGGGTGCGGCCTTCCAGGCATCCCAGAGCGCTCCACGAGCGCTCAAGATGGCTCCAGAAGCCTCCGAGACGGCCTACGATGCCCCCAAGACGACCTCAGAGAGATGGTCCAAGAGCGCTCCAAGAGGGCCCAAGATGGCCTCGAGACGGCCCAAGAGGTCCACAAGAGACCTTTCAGGGTAGCCCCGACAAGTCAAATTCTCCCTACTTCCTTTATAAGATTTACATTTCAAGCATTTCTATCTTTTGCGTCCGAGACGGCGAATTCGAGAGGCATCAGACATCACCCTAAGACGGCCCAGGAGGCTCCCGAGAGAGCCCCGAGATACCCCAAGAGGCCCCTATGATGCCCAAGGAGCGCCAACAGGCCCTCAAGGAGCCCCCCCCCAAAGCCCCTCGAAACCATCAAGATGCTTCCAAGAGGTCCCGAAGAAGCCCCCAAGAGGCCCCCTGGCAGCTCCCGAGAGGCCCCCAGAGGTTCACAAGAGGCCCCGAGAGGCTCCAAGAGGCTCACAAGCGGTCCCAAGAGGCCCATTGAAGCCCCCAAGGGGCTCCAGGAGGCCCAACAAATACTTCCCAGACGCTCCCTCGAGAGACCCCACGAGGCCTCCCAAAGAAGCATACATACGAAGCCGTCGAGAGGTTCCCTCGCCCCCGCAGCTCCGCACTGTAAACGACCACTCGGCCAGCCGACAGCGATGCGCCAAGTGAGCCGGCGGAATAAACGAAGCGACTACATGAAGCTTCGCCTCGGGTATCTCACATGATTGTGAAGAATCCAATGGGTGCGACGAGGTCAGTGGGAACTCTTCCCTAATTTCCTCGTTTGGGTCCCTCGGTTTCCTCCATGCCTTAGGAAGCCTCTCCCGGGTTCCTCGGGCTCCTCAAGCAACGCCAATCAATGCTACGAATTGCCCAAAATTGCCTTGCTCGGGTTGCCTGGGGCTTCCTGGGCTCGCCGTTGCATTGCATTGCGTTGCACGGGGTCGCCCAATTAGGCTTTGCTTGAGGTGTTCTTACTCGTTCCCCAGTCAGGCTCTGTCTGAGGGGTTCTGATTTCTTAGTGAAAGACACAGGTTGGTGCGGGGCCCTTCGTCAACGGCGTTCCTCATGGTTGCCAAGGGTTGCGCGTGCAATGACAAGTAACGCGAAGCATTGCCAAGCACTGCCAAGCAACAATTTCGAGCAATGCCATGCAATGCTTTGCATTACCTTGCATTGCATTGCTCAGAACTGCTTTGAAGTGCACTGGAGGAACGAACAAATCCTGATGTGGGCCGCGACGGGTTCATTGGTTTGTGCGTAGGGGAGGCTGGCAGGTTCGCTGTCAGCGCACGGTCTCGCATGAAACTCGGCGGCGAGCCAACGGGGGAAGCGAGAGGAGGCAAGCCTTCTCAGAAGGCGGCCAAGCTCCTCAGAAGCTCCCCAGCCTTCTGAACAAAAGCCGTCTCTGCCTTCGGAGAAGGTTTAGACAACTTGTCAGAAGGCCGGATGCCTTCTGAGCCTTCTCAGAAGGCCCGCCCCCCGTGAGTTCCCCCCTGGGCTCGCCGCCGAAACTCACTGCTTTGCACTCGCGACGAAAAACTCTGGACCAGCCGTCCTGAAGCATTTGTCTTCGCCAAACGCGCAGCTTCTCACACGCGCCCCGCTGTCGGCTGCACGTAAGGGTGACCCCAGGCAAGGGTGACCCTTGGTGCGCGACTTTCGGGGGCCGCAAGCAAGCCGAACAGGAGCGCGCAAGCCGCTGCTACAGTCGGAGCTAGGACATAAGAACATCCCTCAAGTTCATGAGACCCTCCGACGGCCAAAATGAAAAGCATTCGATGGTGCACAAGAACATCCCACAAGCACGAACAAACATCAGGGTACTCTCCCCGAACCTATCTCGATCTTATACCTCGGCCCGGCTGTATCGCATCGCATTCAGCCATCTGGGTACCCTACTGTGCTCAAGCCCCAGACCCCCGACGTCGTGATTTTTCACGACGTTGACCCTCAGAGGTCTGGAGCCCCTTCTCTGGAACCGGTTTTTCATCCTGAATCGGTTTTTGACGGTCCCGGGACCCAGGAAGGGCCCCCGGACGACGACAATGGCAAGAAACCGCCCGTCGTGTTTTTTCACAACGCGAGGGGGTCTGGGACCACAGGTCACTCCAGCAAAGGGTCTCACAGAGGCCTCCCACGTGGGGTCCGAGTGCAGTCGAAGCTAGGACAGCAGAACACCCCTCGAGAACAGGAGACCCTCCGCGCGTCAAAACGCGCAGAACATCCAGGGGTACCCTCCCTGGGATGCACAAGAACATCCAACAAGCACGAAGAACCTCAGGGTACCCTCCCCGAACCGATCTCGATCTTCTACTTCGGTCCGACTGTAGATGGGGTCGGGGGATCGCGCCGCACCGCCGACGTCGCTGTGGAGAGATCTGGCTCCACATCGAGCCGCATCGCCGATGCATCGGCGGCGCGGCACCCATCCTCCGACTCCGGCTGCTCGGGCCCCGTCTGGGAGGCCTAGACTGCAGCAGCCGCCCCACGCGTGCCAGCACGTCTTTCGTTGTTGCCACCCCCTGGAACGCAGCCCGCACGAGAGCGTTTCGATGATTCTCGGGAATTGCGTTGGCGCCGGCGTGTGCTTCTCCATCGTGGCCTTCCGGCGCGACGCAAGCGGCGTGATGAGGGCCGACACGGGCCGCTTGCTGCCGGCTCAGCAGAACCAACCGAATCAACACACCGTGGGCTAGCATACACATCCTGAGGCTCATGGACACTCGGATGGTTGATGTTTGGCAGCTTTATTTTTGCGTGTTGCCTGTAAGGGTCACTCTGGAGGGCCGCTCCAGGGCCTAAGGAATACGCAGTTCGGTGGACCTGGAATGCCCAGAAGCTCTAGTACCCGGCGCGAGAGGAGGCACAAGGCCCAAGCCAGTGTCGGGCCGATCGACTGCCCAGTCCAAGGTTCGTCGCACGTACTGCCAGTCGGTAAGAGCGCCCTGGCGCATGTGATGAGCGTCGTCAGCGGGCCTGCACAACACCGCCCTGAGCTAATATTATTATTATTATTCTTACTAATAAGAATAATCATAATAATATCCTAATATTGACCATAAGAGTTGCAGTGAACGCCCCTTTCCCCCAAACATCATTCCTTCACGGGCGATCCGTGGCCGGCTCGGGAAACAAACAATGACATAAGCATGAACTTCCGGAGGTCCGCGCGGATTTCTAGGATCGGCGCTGGGCCCCCCCTCCCTGGCGCGCGGAGCGCGCTAAGGGCGGTGCTGGAGGCGCCGCCAAGGGGGCCCAGGCGCCGATCCAAGAACGCCGCGCGGAGCTCCGAGAATTTATACTTCTGCAGATCTTCTCCTTCGATTCCCGGGCGACCCGTGGCCCGTGGCTTCCTCCCCCCCCCTCTTGGGCGCCTTCACCTGCTGCTGGACTATGTTCTGCCTGCGGCTCGGCTCGACACCTGGCGCGCCCGCGCCGCGGAGAGAGGGCGAGCGAGCGACGGGCGGTGCCAGCGGGTGCAGGCCCACTCGCGGTAGAGTCAAACTGCTTTCACCAAGGGACCTGCAGCGGATTCGTGCCTGACGACTCCCGCGCTGGTCTCCGACACCGCGTGGATCGTGCAACCTTGAACGATCGCGGCGTTCCGATAGCGCACATCGTTCGACATTGGAGGAGGAGGAGGAGAAGGAGGAGGAGGAGGAGGAGGAGGAGGAGGAGGGTCGCCGCCGCGTCGAGACGACACACATCTGCCGTAAAGAAAATGATAGCCCTGAAGGCGCCTGGTTCCACGAGGAGCGCCAGAGGAGCAATCATGGAAGGACCCAAGGAGGAGGAGGAGGAGGAGGAGGAGGAGGAGGAGGAGGAGGAGGAGGAGGACTTTACCGCACTTCAGCGTCTCGACTGCACGAGGGTATACCAACCCACGCGAAAACGCAGACGTGAAACCTCTTGGCTGCACAAGCGCCGAATCGCCGATGAGCGCCGTGCCTTTCAAACCGCAAGGGCCTCAACTTCGCCAGGCCACTTACAAGCCACTCGGGTCGGCCGAGCACCGCGTCTCGAGAAGGCCGCGGGTCGGCACAACCGACGAGACCAGCGCCTCGCACATCGCAGGAGCCGGCATCACCGACCTCGGAAGCAGCCCGAATTAGGATCACGGGCGCTCCGGGAATGACCTCGGCAACGAGCAGACAACCGAGCTCCGCTGCTCTCATCGTCGTGGCTACCCGTAAATGGCCTGGACCCGCCGCGGGCGAGGATGTACGATCTGTCACAGGCAAACATGTTTGTTTTCTCGGACGTTTGCGAGTATTGGGTCGGGCGAAAGGGGGGGATAGCAAAGGGGGGGTTTGAGAATCAGCTCGCGTAGCTGATTTTCCTGGCGCCCCCCGGCGCCAGAGGCGGCCATGCATCGAGGCATGGGCCCCTCGGTGGGGCCGAAACCAGCTGCAGGCAGCAGACTTCGTAACCCCCCCTTTCCCGGTCCCCCCCTTTCGCCCGGCCCGAGAGCAGGCACTCTGCGGGCGGTGGCACGCGCTCGGTGCACCAGAGCGGGGCCCTCCTCTGAGAGGCCTGCTCGCCAGAGGCCTCTCGGCCAGTGCGTGAACCTCTCGGCCGCGGGAGCGCCCCCCACGGCTGCCCCCCCCCCTTCGGGGGGCCGCTCTGGGCGCCCCTCGGAGCTCCTCTGGGAGCCCCTGGAGACTGGATTTAAGTCGGGCCTGTCTCCCTACAGGGGGAGATTCGACGAAAAATAAAAGATACCCTACAAATACTCCAAGAATGATCCAAACATCGTCTGGGGACTATTTTTTGAATAGTTTGTTTTGCCTTTTTGGGGTATTCTTTGTTTTTCGTCGAAAATCCCCCTGTAGGGGGACACGCCCGACTTAAGACTGGGTCCGAGGAGCAAACGGGGCATGAACATAAACTTTCCGAGCTCCGCGCGAACTTCTTCGGGGGCCCAGCACCGATCCAAAAAAAAATCGCGCGGAGCGCAGAACGTCCACGCTGATGACATCTGTCCCTCGACTTCACAGAGGATGTCGGGGACGCAGGAGGAGGAGGAGGAGGAGGAGGAGGAGGAGGAGGAGGAGGAGGAGGAAGAGGACCAGGAGGACGAGGAGGAGGAGGAGGAGGAGGAGGAGGAGGAGGAGGAGGAGGAGGAGGAGGAGGGGGAGGAGGAGGAGGAGGAGGAGGCCAGGCTTTGCACGATCCTGCAGGACCCTGCACCTTCGGTGGCAACTCATGGGAGCCTCCCATACCATCTTGTCGGCTCTTGCGAATCGACGCTAATCGACTCTAGTCGACGCTAATCGACGCTAAATCGACGCTAACCGACGCTAACTGACGCTAAATCGGCGTTCTCTCATCGACCCCCAGACGCTAATCGACGCTAACCGACGCTAAAGACGGAATTGAAAGGGTACACCAGGCTCCCATGACTTGCTACCGAACTGCACCCAAGCGCAGATGCTGCGGTGCTGCCCTGCCGGTCGCAGGAGCTCTGAGCCCCTACAACGCTGGCACCTCGCTCTTGCTTCCGCCACCCTCTCCGCCGACCATGTCCACCAGCGGACCCGCCGGCGGACCCCCGCCGCCATTTTGCTTTTCCGCCGCCCTCCGCGGCAGGCGAGATGCGTCGAGGCGATGCCCTCCCCAGACGGCAGGAGGTCCTGACCCCTTCCCTGGGGCGATTTTCCGCCCCCGAACAATTAAAGGGAAATTAGGACACACAAATAAATACACACAAATAAAAAGATTCCCCATATTTTCCTATATTTTCTGGGCTTCTGTCTTCCCCACCACTTCCCATATTTTCCCATATTTTCTGGGAAATCGACGATTAATTGTGTCTGTGTGTTTTTTCCCCTCCTGAAGCAATGCTTGATGGTCCTGGGGCCCGACACCGGGGCGCAGGTGGCGAACTCGAGGAAGACGCCCAGATGGAAACTATTCGACGAGCCCGAGCGTGAGCGAGCCTGAGTGCGACTGTAATTGAGTGTGAGTGAGGGGAGTGAGGACAGGAGGAAGTGAAGCGGAGGCATCGCACAAATGACAAGAACCCCATACTTAGGATATGGGGAAAATCGTTTTGTCGGATTCGGGCAACACGTCCTGAAGGAAACATGTCCTGGACCCTCGGGGCCTTTCCCCGGACCAGCTCTTCATCCTGAGCCGTTTTCTGACGGTCCCAGGGGCCGTGGAGGGCCCCGGGAAACCTAAGACGGCGAACACATCTCAGTCAGAAACCCCGAGTCCCAAAAAGTTGTCATCTCTTGGGGGCGCATGTTTTACTTCCACCGCCTTCCGCCGACCTTCCGCCGAGGAAGAGATAGCAACTCACTCCTTCGATCCTGGAAAGCGGGGCCTTTCCTGGAACGCCTCCCCTGGGCTTCTGGGGAGCGCCAGCAACCTGGAGTCGCCCGAGGTGTCTGGGCGGGCCCGGCACAGTCCGCCCGCACGTCGCCGCCGCCGCCGCCGCAGCTGTCGTCGTCGTCGTCGTCGTCGCCGTCGCTGTCGTCGTCGCCGTCGTTGTCGTCGCCGTCGTCGTCGTCGTCGTCGTCGTCGAGGTGGTCGCCGCCATTGTTGTCGTCGTCGTCGTCGTGGCCGTCGTCGCCGTCGCCGTCGTCATCGCTGTCGCCGTCGCCGTCGCCGCCGCCGTCGTCGTCGTTGTCGCCGTCGTCGTCGTCGTCGCCGTCGTCGCCGTAGCCGCCGCCGCCGTCGTCGTCGTCGTCGTGGCCGCCGCCGTCGTCGTCGTCGTCGTCGTCGCCGTCGTCGCCGTCGTCGTCGCCGTCGTCGTCGTCGTCGTCGTCGTCGTCGTCGTCGTCGTCGTCGTCGTCGTCGTCGTCGTCGTCGTCGTCGTCGTCGTCCCCCTTCTGGGTCGGCGGCCCTGGCCGCAAGGCCCTCGCACTTGCATCGTCGGAGATCTGGGTTTCTGGCGAGCGCCGGCAGCCTAGAGGCGCTCCGAGGTGTCCAGGCGGCGCGGGCCCGGTGCAGTTCGCCCGCAGGCCGTCGGGGACGGCCCCCGCGCCTGCCCCCCAGGCGTCTCTGCGCTGACCGCAGGGAGGGGCCTCGCGTGCCACGCCGGGAGTGGCGCCCGAGACGAAGCGTCGCGAAGCAAACTGATGATTCTGATGCTGATGTTGATTGTGATGCTGATGATTTGTTGTTGTTGATGCTGATGATGATTTTGATGATGATGATGCTGAGGATGATGATGTGGTGATGATGGGTATAACGATGTTGATGATGTTGATGATGTTGATGATGTTGATGGCGTCGGGAGGGCAAGCAATCGCTGCATCGGCCGATGCATTGTCGATGCGGCTCGATGCATCGCCGATGGCGCCAACACCCGCTCGATGATGATGCTGCTGATGCTGATGCTGATGCTGATGATGATGATGATGATGATGATGATGATGATGATGATGATGATGATGATGATGATGATGATGATTATGCTGATGATGCTGCTGCTGCTGATGTCTTCGAGATCGCTTGCCATCACACCGAGGCCACGCGCCCAATTCGGAACGTCTGGGGCGAACCCGCATTTGGCCACGCCGCGAGAGGCCGCGTCGGGGGGCCCCGTGTGCCACGCCGCGACAGGCAGCGCCACACCGCGGGAGGCCCCATCGGCGGCTGTCACACTTCCGCCGCCATGTCATCGACGGTCTCGGCATCTTTGCAGTCGCTAGCACGACTGCACCGTGAATTTGGCTGGTCGATTAGTTGGCGCCTTCTCTGTGCACGGTGCTCATGCAATTCTTTGTAGTGCTCTTCCCAGTGATAAATGGGCCCTGGATCGGGTCGGACCGAAAGCGTGGTCCTGGCCCAAGGCAAGGGCGACCCGAGGGACCATCGGGGGCCTGGCGGGCGCTGCCCGGGCCGACCGGCAAGGTGCGCTGCCGCCCCGGGGACGTTGCGCGGGGAAGGCTCAAGAGCTCTGGACGCTCGGTCGAATCCCTAGGCCCAATTGGGGGACGATAACTTCATCCAGCGATAAGACAATTACCTGCTATTTCCCCTGGCTTTCCGAAGTTCCTTGGGCCCGCGGTGGTTTCCAGCAGCTGCGCCTCGTCGACGGCGTGCCACAGGGGGTGCTGGCATCGTCCCGAGCGGTCGCTGGAGAGCCGAGCGATGTCCCGAAGGCCAAGGGGCAGCTTCAGGAGGTGCTGCTCGACATGTCCAGGATTTTCGCTGGCAAGGGGGACGTCCGCCAGTAAGAGGTAAGAGCAGGAGTGGATGCGCGAATCTTCAGGGCCACAGTGGAGGCCAGTCCACTAGACACCTTGCACCAGAAACCCCACCCCAGGACGTCCATTGATTCTTGGTGTGGGAGCGTTGCGCTTCCCGTAGCAAGACCATCCAAGAAACCCAGGGCACCCTGGAGGCAAGCAGGGTGTGTCTTGGCATGGGCCCCCACTGCAACCTCCAGGCCACCCAATCTTGCGCCAC